ATATAGTTTGAAATCCAGAATTGTGATGCCTCCTGCTTTGCTTTTCTTTTTCAACATTACTTTGGCTATTCAGGGTCTTTCCTGGTTCCATAAAAATTTTAGAATTGTTTGTTCCAGCTCTGTGAAAAATGCTGGTGTCATTTTGATAGGGATTGCATTGACTGTGTAGATTGCTTTGGGTAGTATAGACATTTTAATTATATTTGTTCTTCCAACCAAGAGCATGGAATGTTTTTCCATTTCTTTGTATCTTCAATTTTTTTCATTAAGTGTTTTATAGTTTTCAGAGTACAGATCGTTTAGCTTTTTGGTTAGGTTTATTCCTAGGTATCTTATGGTTTTTGGTGCAATTGTAAATGGGATGATTCCTTGATTTCTCTTTCTTCTGCTTCATTATTGGTAATATACCTCATTTCCATTTTCCAGAATCTTTTTAGAAACTTTTAGAATCTTCTCTTTATCCCTGCTGTTTGGAAATGTCAGTGATGTGCCTTGATGTGTATTTTTTTCATCAACTGTATTGGAGACTCTGTGGTCTCTTTCACTCTAGAGACTCATTTTTTTAAATTCTGAGGACATTTCTTATACTGTTACAATTATCATTTCTTCCTCTCCATTTTCTTTTTCTTCTGGAAATTCTATTATTTGAATATTGGACCTACTAGATTGAGCTTTTTTTTTTAGCTTTAATCCCTATTTTCTGTCTCTGTCTTTATTTCGTATACTCTTGGGGGCATTGCTTTAATTATTAATCTTTTTAAACACAATAACATATTTGCAATTTCCATTTTTTTTTGTTTCTGAATGTAATTTTTATAACAGTTTGTTCTTTCTTTCCATGGATACAGTATCTTCTTACCTCTCTGTGGATATTATAGTAAGATCTCCTTTAGTGTTTGTTTTTCTGTTTATGCGGTTCTATTTTTGTTTGATTGTTTTGATCTCTGTCTTTTGGGTTAGAGGCTCTACTCAAATGCTCAGTGACTTTGAACTATTCATAACTAAATGTAAAGCACCACAAAACTTGTTGGAAATCATGTATACTGGGCAGAGTTTGTGAATGTGTGTCCCTTCTCTTGGAATGACTATGTAGCAGTCTGCTCATTTTGTCTGAAAAAAATGTGAATATCTGTGGGGCTTTTCTCTTGGGTCAGGCAGTTTAGTCACAAAAAAATTCTCTAATATCCTACTGGGGGTGGCAGGGTGGGGTTCAGTTTAGCTGCCAGCATTCTGGGAGCAGAGCAGGTAAAGGGTTTGCAAGGGTTCATCATTCAGGATGCCAGCTTTTACTTAAAATCCCCATCGTCCCGTAGGGTATCTTAACCTCACCCTTCATGCTCGTGCTGTGAACTCAAGCACACAGCTTCTTGTGCCTCTCCAGGGAGTAAGAGTCTTATCTTCTCCCATTCTGGTACCTGGCTTGTCTAATTCCCGAGCCTCCACGGATTCTGCCCCTGGAAGTAATTGCCTTATTTCTTGGCTTTCCCTCTTGCAGTCACTGACCTTTTGGCATTATTCTGTCTGCTAAATGAGTTTATTAGCATCCATAATTTTTTTGCAACTTCTCACTGTTATTGTCTCTTCCTTCATTCTCTTTGTTCTTATGGATTTATATGTTGAAAAAATTTTTTTCTAAATTCTCATTTTAGTGAGGTATTGGTAGAGAGTGGATGTATGGAGTCTGTCTTGTTCCCTGGAAACCTGTAGTCAGCTCTTGATATGAGTGGTGAGCACAATTGGAAACCTGGTTAGCAGAACTGAACATAGATTATTACGCTGATGGTCAGTCAATGCATCTACCCTGCTCAGTTATTATATGTAAAAAATAAATTTGCTATCTGAAGGCAGCCACCCACCCAAGCTGATTTATTGTCAAGCACATTGCCTAGGATTTGTCAAAATATATATATTTACTGTGCTCTTTGTCCTTTCCACATGATCTGAAAGAACAGAAACGGAGCAACAACAGATGAAACACCGAGCTGTTTGCTTGTTTAAAGGTGGAATTCTGCCATGGTGGATGCGAACCTGGGTCAGCACTATTTAGAGAAGAGCACATGGTGTTTTGTCTCAATGAGCAGGAAAATGTTTTGTGATAAAATGTGGTAAAAGCTTGTAGTTTTTTCCAACTAAGCAGTAAAAGGAATTACACAATGTAAAATGATAAATAAAAAGTTCTATGAGTCATTTTTAACGTGGGGAAAATGTGCAGCCAGGACTGAAACAGTGTTTCTCCTGCATGTTAAAAATAAAATTGAAGGCACTGAAACCGAAATCAATAACAGCATGTCCCAGGAGCTCAAAAAACCGTGAGATTTTATGGGGTTCAATGCAGTTCATGCTTTTTATCGAAATGGTGGGGACAATAACGTAAAAACTGTTGACTTTATTCTTTTAAAGTCATGTTTATTGAGGTATAACTTACAGTAAAATTCACTCTATTTAGTGTATGTTCTATGAATTTTGACAGAAACACTCAGTAATGATCAGTTCTATAAAACTCGCCCATAATTCCCTCCTGCTCCCCCCCACCCCAGTCTCTGGCAACCACTGATCTGTTTTCTGTTCTTATAATTCTGCCTTTTTCAAAATGTCACATAAATGGAATCATACCACACACAGAATTTTGACTCTGGCTTCAACATTTGTATATAGGTTTTTTATATGAACATAAGTTTTCATTTCTCTGGGATAAATGCCTGGGAGTGCAATTGCTGGGTTAAATGGTAAGTTGCATATTTAGGTTTTAAAGAAACCACCAAACTGTTTTCCAGAGAGGCTGCACTATTTCACATTCTCACTGGCTATGTGGGAGTGATCCAGCTTTGATTTTTTTTTTTTTTAATTTCAGTGTTTAAACTGCTAAAATGCACTAGGAGATACACTCCAGAGATTCACTAGGTTTAAAATGTATGCACTGTTAAGAATGTTTTACTTCTGGAAGTGTTATGACGAATGACACTCCAAAGTAAACTAAGTCACCCACAAAAGGGAAAACAAGAATCATCTGGCCTACTCTTTTCCCCCAGAAACTTTAAACACCAGAAAACAATGGAGTAATGATGTTTACAAAGTCTTCAGCTTTAAAGGAAACCTTTAAGTACCCATGTTTCTATGGTGCTCAGCAATCTCTTTGGTTTTAATTCAATGTGAAAGGACCAAAAAAGAAAAAAAAAAAGATGACTAGATGTTCTGTCAGGGACACCCTTCCAGGTTAGCTCTGTAAGCTGCAGAAAACTGATGGTAAAGAAACTGTTTCTTGTACACAGAAATAGAAATGCATCATACAAGTCCAGATGATGCACTAGATTACTGCTCTGCAGATATCAACCAGTTTCACATTTATTTGTACATACATTTCAGCATTCCTAATTGCCTTGTGCACTTCAGTTTTTTTTTTTAAATATTTATTTATTAGAGAGAGCTCCAGTGCACAAGTGGGGGGAGGGGCAGAGGGAGAGAGAATCCTCGAGCAGACTCCTCACTGCACATGGAGCCCAATCCCAGGACCCTGATATCATGACCTGGGCCAAAACCAAGAGTCAGTCGCTTAACCAAATGAGCCACCCAGATGCCCTGCCTTGTGCACTTCAAATTCTCCCTTGAAGTGGTTGTAACAACTTACTGGTTCTTTCATTAATTAATGAATTACGATCTTTGTCATGTGCTCATTTTATATTTGTATGAAAATCACAAATTATCCTTTAATTTACTCAAAGTGGCAACTTAGATTTGCTGATAGGAAAATGCTTCTAAAATGTCTCCCTGTTTAAACACCTGGCAGGCAGTAGCTGAGCTCATGAGGTCATATTCTGCCCTCTGGGTGCATTTGTAGGATGAGTTCGCATGCTCCAGGGACTATTACCTGTGTGTTTACACTCACTTACATTATTGAGGTTTTTGGAAACAATACCTGGAGATGAGCTTGGACCTTGGGAGATCCTTCTTATAGGCCTACCTATTTCTTCAGCCGTCTGCCCTCTCCTTCCATGCCTGGCCCACATATCTGGTCAGGGGGCCGTTGAGATCCCTTGGAGCAACTAGGGTCCCAGGGCAGTTAGATGTGAGGGCCTTGGAATTCAGACCTCTTCTTGAAGAGTTAAGTGGGTTGGTTTGACCTCTGCAATGTGTCCCTCAAGACCTCAGTAATTGCTTAGAAAAGGAGTGAGGTGAAAGAACCTCCAAAAGCAGGCAGCACATTTCTTAGCCTCTGCACCTGTGCTGTCCAATATGGTGGGGCAGCCACTACCTATAGGGCTATTGAGTGCTAGAAATGTGGCTTATGCTACTGAAGAATGGAGTTTTTAACTTCATTTAACTTTAATTAATTTAAGTTTAAATGTGAAACTGATGCTCCTTTCAGTTATTTGAAAGCTCAGTATGATTGGAACCATTTGAGTATGCAAATCTACTTTTCAACATTTTATGTATGCATTTGATGAAATCTAAATACAGAACAAGTATTTCTGATGACAAATCACCTCCCAGATTGAAATATGCTGCAAATGTAAAATACACACCAGATTTCAAAGACTTAGTCCAAAAAAAAGTAAAACATTCCATATTTTTTTAATTGATTACATGTAAAATGAAAATATTTTTTATATACGAGGTAAAATAACATATACTGTCACAATTCATTTCACCTTTCTCTTTATGTTTGTAAACGTGGTAGTAGAAGATTTGAGATCACATACGGGGCGGGCATCACTGGGACAGGCAGCTCTGGATCATGAATTCTCCCATTCTGGTCCATTTATTACGGGCCACCCAAGTGTTCCTGAACCCCGCTTTTCTGCTGTGATGTCCTAACCCCTGGCAGCTTTCTGTCTCCTTCCTAGGAGATCACACTACTTCCTCCAGGGAGTCCCACGGAGGAGTTTTGAGGTTCTGAAGAGTAAGACCCCCGTGACTTTACAAGAATGATCCTGCAATTCCAGACGCCGCCGCCAGAGAGAGCCGTATCGCTGCCGTGGTTGCCGAGCAACTCGTGGCCCGGAAGCAGTTCTCCAGCCCGCCCCCGCCGCCACCGCGCGCAGGACAACTTCCGGCGGGGCGGGCGCGGGATCCCCCTGAGCCGGCTTCTGCGGCGGCGGCGCAATGACCACGCTCCGGGCCTTCACTTGCGATGACCTGTTCCGCTTCAACAACATGTGAGTGAGGCGCCCTGGGCCGGCGTTGGTGGCCGCGTCCCCTCTCCCGGGCCGGGGCCCGCGGGGCTACCCCCGCCCCCCGCCACTGGCTCCTCCCTGGAGCCGCCGGATCGGAGCCGGAGCCGGAGCCGGGGCCGGGGCCGGGGCGGACGTGCGGACCTCCTTGCTGACCTTGGCCGAGGCGCTGCAGCTTCATCCCGCATCCTTGTGTGCTCGTCGGAGCCGGGGCAGCGCGCGGGCGGCCTGTCGCGGTGGCTGTCCCGATGCGCCGGGGCGAGTGGTAGGAGGTGGGGGAGCGGCCCGAGTCCAGCAATGGACTGCCGCCTGCGGCCAGTAGCCGGGCGGGTGATGCGGCTTCGTCTTCTGCGCAGCGGTGGGCATGGAAGCGCTGGCCGCGGGGCTCGTTGGGAGGTCAGCAGCCAGGTGTTTGTTGAGAATACGGACGTGGTGCAGCCCACCCGCTGATGGTTCATTTGTATCCGAGTGAAACCTTGTGAGGCTGGCAGCGACCGCCGCCGTTTCTTTCTTGGCCCGGGTTTGTTTTTGTTCATTTCGTTGCTGAAGCGGCGCATTCAGCCTGGACAACCACTTTCAGGTGTGAAGAGTCGGGGCGGGGACACATGCTGGTGGAGGCCCACCGTGTGTACTTTCTTTTAATCCGAGTTAAGGCAGGACTTGTGACTTGCAGGTACCTTTTTTTTAAAAAACAAAACAAAACATTTTATTACATAAGTTTCTGAACATTTAAAAAGTTGACAGAATTTTACCCTGAACACCTATAGAAACATCGGCTAGATTCTACAGTTAACCTTTTGTTGACTTCCTCACGTATCTGTCCATCCATCCATCCACCCACCAGTCCAAAATCCACTTCAAAGACAGCTGGGCAGTGTGTGAAAACTGAGGATCAAGTGGTTCGGATTCAAGTGTTAGGAGGATGGGAAGAACTTGAGAGGAGTTGGCTAGAAACCGTTCAAAGAGGGGATGAGCCTTGAAGGGTGGATAAAATGTTGACAGTGATGAGGAAGTTCTGGAGAAGGAAGCAGGTGTGAGGGTGGGAAAGCTCGCCAGACAAGTGGGAGACAGGTGTGACTGGAGGAGTGGGTTTCTCTAACTGCGCCATCAGAACAGCTGGTGAAACTGGACTTTTGCTCTGTCGTCGGAGGTTTCAGGCTTCATTGTTGGGAAGAATTTTCTCATGGGCCTCTTTCAATCAGCAGTGTAACTCAAGTGACTTGTGTTGAGCTCCCCCTGTGCTTGCTGGGCACTGGCACTGTAATAATCATTTAATTCTCACAGTTCTTTGAAGTAGGTGCTCTCGTTATCCCCATTTTTTGTATGAGTAAACTAAGGTACTGAGAGTGTAAGAGAATTGTCCCAGGTGATAGATCCTGTGGTGGGAGTGGGTGAAGCAAGGAAGTTAATCCAAGGAGATTGGCTCTAGAACAGTGGTTCTCTAAGAGTGGTCCCAGACCACCAAGAACACTTTGCAAATGCGTATTCTCGGCTGTTTAAGGACCAGTGCTCTGGAGCCCAAGCTCTTCACCACAGGGTTATATGGAATGTGAGGAAATTAGAGGCGGTATATCAGGCAGGTAAGTCATTTAGGATGTCTTGGCAACAGTCCAGAGATGATGACTTGACAAAGGTTTGGGTTTGGGAGGTGCAGGCCTGGGAAGGGATAGTGTGCCTCGAATTTTTAAGAATAGGGCAAAACCATATAT